GAGGGAGGTGGGCATCTCAGTGGCTGGGGTAGCAGCATTATAAGATGAGAGAAACATATTCTTGTGCTTCCTGATACATTGCTGTACCTTTCAGAGAACAGCACTCCCTTTCCTTCTGTCTCACCTACGTGCAGCAAGTTTGTGCATTTCTATCTTGTGAGACGGTTGATCTCATTCATCAAGGTCTGTGTCCGTGAGATCCAAGTAAATGAGAGTCCCCATTCTAGGACTACCTGTCCAGCACCTGCCCTCTCCATACAGCCTGCTCTTCCAAGCTCTGGATTTCCCTCTTCCACAGTATAATGACATTTGTCTCATTTTTAGCCCTTCCCTGCCTATATACAATCATTTTCTTCCTCTTGAGCACCAGATTCTGCAACTTTTAATGCATGCAGTGGTAATGGGACAAATAAAAACTCTCTCCTTTCTTTTCATGGCCACACCAGAACATACAGCAAGAGCACATTTGTTAACTCACCACCACTGGAACCAAAGATCAGGGCTCATCATGAGAGCAGGAAATTTGTCCTGCAGCTGTTAGCACTTGGCAACATTAGCTTTTATGGAGCAAAACCTCTTTTTTTCGTCATAACTCCTGAATATTTTAAAATCAGAAGAAGATTCAGCACATGCCTGGCAAATACCATATATCTAAGAGAGGTGTATCAGTGTGCCTGCATGCAAAAGGGATTTGGGAAAAAACAATGAGATTCTCTACCCAATTTTTGCAAAATTGCTATTTTTTTCTAGACTGTTACTTCTTTTCTAGACATCTCCCCAGATTTCACCAAATGTCTCTTAAAAATTCACACCTATCATATTCTTACGCTGTACCTTACATTTGTCCAGCAAATATTAAGTGTAAGTTTTAAGGCTGCAAGCAATTATTAGATTATCTAGTCTGACTAGCATAACACGGGCCAGAGAATTTCACTCAATTACACCTATAAGTAAATAGAACTGTGGTTAAGTCAGATAATGCAGTTTCATTACACTGAATACTTACATAGCTAATTACACTGTCCCTTGTAGAAGTTACTCTATGGCTGTCAGCTGTTTGGAATTTTTTGGTTGAAACTATTTTCCAAGAAAAAGCAGAAAACCTGTTTTTAACTAAAATACCTGCAGCACCTTTTTTGAGCAGTTCTAAATGCGGATTGTTATATGGCAGTAGGTCGCCTCTGTCAACAGAACCAGCTTGTAATCTATGTGGATTGTGATGAATCCCAGAAGAACAAGAAAGACTGGCCTGTATCAACTTTTTATCCCTAAAATGACACTGACTAGCACTTGGGAGATGTGGATCTCACTTCCTGGTGCTACTTTTTTGTTATTCGGAAACTGTCTTCAATTCCATTCTCTGATTGCAACTAAATGATCTCTCTCTGTCTCTTTGGCAGTGCTTCCCTGTTCAAGTAAGAAAATATTATCTGAGTTTGTGGAAACAAACACATCTGTGCATTGTGAATATATATGCCAGACCAGTGTGTAGCCTTACTTGGAAATGTCTGTGTTCAGGACTTGCACACTTTTCCCTGGTTGAGCTGAGCTGTGTAACGTAAGAGCTAGATTTGGCTGAATATTCCCCTTTTGTTTATCATGGTGATGCCTACTCTGTCCAGGTGGCTGTTTTCCTCTTTCAGCTAGGATCTAACACGAATAATGGAGCCTTTCATAGACTCTTCAAAATATTGCCTGTTTGCATTACACATCCTTTCCATTTGTCATGCTGCTTTAACACCCGTCCCTCCATTGGCTAGCAAGATCACACCATCTGCTTTCCTCTCCTGAATAATTCGGAGCGTTTCAGATGCTGAGTTCCTATCAGATCTCTGAAATTTACACGGGATTGGGCCTGGCCAACTGTTGGATGGGAGCTCTTCAAGGAATCCCAAAGTGCTGCAGGAATTGCTGGTATAATTATAGAGTTGGCACTTGGCTCCATGAATTAGTCCCATCAAGATACTATGGCTACTATATGCTGTTGGAGGAGCTCTTTTGGGTGAGATGTAAAACCCTTAACCACTTGTGACCATAGAAATCTCTTCATGGCATATTATGTATGGATTGATGCATGATGCCTACTATCTTTGTCCCTGGACGCTATTCTTTTAAATAAATCCCTGATACAAGCTTTCTTGCTTTTTTCTGCCTTTCTTGCATTAAAGTTGGGTGCCAAATGTGCAATTGCATAACCTTCTGGGCAGTATACTAGTCCCAGTCACTAGACTGAAGATTATTGGACAGATCAGATGTTCAGGATGAGAGTTCAGGTTGCTAAAGTGCCAGATAGCACTTTTAGTGTACAACATATGCCAGTATAGTCTGGTAAATGGATTTGATTACTGCTGGATGTAAGGTAGTGTAAATGGGTTGTGTCCTAGAAAAATCAGACTCTCCCTTCCTGCCAAAACTAGGCTTTTAGTCCATATGTTGCAGGGGACTAGACTTGATGACCTCTTGACGTCCCTTCCAGTTCTGTGAGTCTATGATCAATGCTTGGAATGTGTTTGCCTAAGTTAGCCTCTTTGTCATACCTCCCTCTAATTTGCTAAAGAGGATTTAACCTTCATAGTTAGATTTCTGTTTGAGGATCATGCTCCGCCTGTCCCTGTGTCCCTCTAGTCAAGTCTGTGCATTTCTTTTTCTAGACAAGGATGGGGTTGTTTTGAAATATCACTCAGTGATCTGTGCCACTCCCATCTAAGCCAGCTTTTGGCAGGTCCATACTATCAAACAACAGGTTGTAAAACAGCATCCATGTTATCTGGAAATCCAGAAATTGCAACAGCTTCCCCATTGGTGGTTTGCTAGTATACAGAAAAGGAGCTGTAATCTCCCACCTTTTTATCCCAAGTTATAATGGGCATGTGCTGATGCCACATGTGTAGGTAGCACGTTATTATGGTGTATGTATGTACACAACACATGAATGTGATGTGTTTTTTTTCTAGTGATACAGATCTTAAAATGCTTTTGTAGCTTCAGAAGTGATTCCAATAGATCTTTCTCCAATGCTATCTTAGCATTCTCCTCTCCGTTACACCAGAGCATATTATGAGGGACTGCCCTGAAATTGTTGGAGATAGATCAGTGTAAGTGAGGGGTAATCAGGCCGTTGGAAGCTAGCCATCAGCAGGGAGAATCCCCACAGCCACCTTGAGGCTTTTAAACTTTCATTATTTTAAATTTAAAATGGCTGGCTGAGCATTGCCTGTACTGAAACCTGATACAATAATAGGAGTCAGAGGTGCGAAAAGGCTTCTTAGGTCATCCAGTCCATCTTCCTGCCAATACTAAGATTGTTTCCTGCAGTTCAATTTCTAGTCATCCTGGAAATTACTGCCCCAGTGCAATAGGCACTTGAAAGAAAATAAAAGCAATTCAAGCTTCAGATGTAGCCAGACGGATCCTATTCCATTGAAACAGCACACTTCTGATGGGGCAGCGTATGCGTATCCTGTTGCTTTGTTACAGTTTAAAAATGAGGACAGTTTGAACTGGTGATTTATATGTGTGAGCTATTTTGATCTACCTTTTACTAAGCGTGGAGCGGAGGAGCTGTTCAAGTATTATAGGAATTTCCTTGAAACTTAAAATAAATAATATTTTTACAAAACAAATTGGTTAATCTCTCCTCCCTCGTGTGTGTGTGTGTGTGTGTGTGTGTGTGTGTGTGTGTATTTAAATCCTATACGAGTGTCTATTTTTATGGGCTTTCCACCCTATCAGGATCAGGAAATATTGGAAGCCTTGCAAGAAGCTCATTTCTCATCAGTTTTATATTCCAAATTCGAGGACCCAAATGATCAGACAGTTCCTAGAAGATTCAGATGAGAAGTATCTTTTGAGGTTTGGCACAAATATTGATGTGTGTATCAGTTTGCATGGAAGATCATTTCTGGGCAGAGAGAGAGAGAGGAGAAGCAGCCTAATAGTTGCACTACTAAAATGATTAAGGTTTGAGCCTCTTAACAGAAAGGAGAAAGAGAAGGGCTAAATTCCAGACAGAAAATGGGTTTGTGGCATTGGCTGAATAATGTTGAAAAGCCTATATCTAAAGCTGGATAGTTGCAAGATGATACCAAGACACTAAGTTCCCTTCCAGGTGTACCTATGTTGTGCGTGTTAATTCTTCACAGGAGATTCTATTAGGAGTTTCAGTTTCTGGTCTGTAGCTTTTTGAGCAGTCATAGTTCAGGAGTCCACTTGACTTGCTGATTGTTGTATTCTCGGGCTATGTCTAAACCTTTTTCGAAAAACTGCTTAAACCGTTCTTTAGGAAGAGCATTTTTTTTTTCGAAAAAGGGTTGGGGGGGGGGGTTCGGAAAAAAAAAAACACATTCAGACTACTTTCATTTTTGAAGGATCCTCTTTTGAAAAGTCTTTGTAGTTTAGACGTAGCCTTCAGAGAACAGATCTCAGTCAGGGAGGTAAGGAGGCATGCCAGCTGCCACCCCTCTTAAACTGGAAGGACTTAATAGGAAAACAAAGGTAACTGGATTGTGTTTAGCAAAAGTCATCTTTTATTGTCTTTGTTTTATTTATGCAGATTTTTAAGGCGTGGATGCTGAAAAATGCAGAAATCATGAAAACACATATTTCCAAAAAAGATTCTTGCAGAGTTTCTATAATAAAAACAGAGAGATGTTTTAATAAAACCGTGTTTATCCTCACACAAATGCTGGTCATGAATACGTGTCTAACATATCTGGAATAAATGCCTGACTCTACTATTCCACTATAGCAACTCAACATTCTGTGTAGGCTGATTATTTTCTCAACAATATTGTTATAGTCTTTTAAGGTCTGCCAGTATTTTTTTTAAGCTTAGTTAGTAAGAACAGCTGCCAGTGGAGCCAAGGCTAAAAGAGGAAAAAATATCTGCAGAAGGCAAGATTTTACTTCAAAAGATCCATATACAAAGCATTACTGTTGCTAGTATAATCACTTTTTTGGGGAGGTTGCTAATATAGACTGTGTTTTCTTGTCTTTTGCAGCCCCCACTGAGCCTTTGCTGTGCAAATTTGCTGATGGAGGGCAAAAGAAGCGACAGAATCAAAGCAAATACACACAGAATGGAAGGCCGTGGCCAAGAGATGGAGAGGTGAGTGATGCTCAAGAGTCATCATTCAGCTGTTGGGGAGGAGACACCTTCAGGATCTAAGGGTCTGGCTTAAAATGAGGTTCCATGCACAACAAAATGTTATCAAAGAGGGAAACAGAGTGAGTGTTTTATGTTAACATGTCAAGTTGCAGAATGGAGAGGTGTAATTGACCTCAGTGTTGCCATGCAGTTTGCTTTCTGTTCCTAGGTTTGAAGTCAGTGGATATTTACAGATGCACCAACAGTAGTGGCTAGCACTGTACAACTGAAGTTAGCAATGCAATGACAACTTCTTACATTATGATATATATTTAAAAAATAACACCCAGTGGCAGAGTTGTTACCAGTCTTCATGGTGCTTTTTTTAAAGTCAGGCATGGATGGAGTATTGCTTATACAAATTAAAAAAATACACTTTCATTCAAATCATATCCAGTGAAAGAAGGTTCCAATCATTCATAGCAGATCTGAGTTTGGGACCTTTGTTCAATTGTAAGGAATAGTAAGGAAAATTACTAGTTTCCATTATAACAGTGGCTTCCCTGTAAATGTTCAATAAACTGGAACTCCTTTTCCATGTACATATACCAAAGAAAGTATAGGTATGTACCAAGTAAGAATGGCATTTGTTTTATCCTTCAAGTGTTTGTTTATTCCTCTTGAATGTTATGAGATGAAGCCATTTGAAACCCTGAAGTAAATTTGGTTGTAGAACAATCTTAGGTATTGGTATGGCTACTAGAGTGAAGTTCTTGTCGTATTTCCATGCCTAAAATCTTTCTTTTCTGTATTATAGGGATACTAAAAAGTTTTACTCCATGCTGAGATGTGGCATACATGAGTTCAAGCCTTTTTAGAGGTTCACATTTTAAATTTACAAAAAAGAGAGAGAGAGAGACAGAAAGAGAGAGATAGGCCATTTGTAACTTCCAAAGGTGATTTCAGATAGGTTGTTGAGTTCTAGCCAGACTGCAGCTTGAATTGGTTAGTTGATACTTTGATACTTTGGTTAGTTGATTAGTTGATACTTTGCAGACCACTAGTCCAGAAGTTCAGACCATGAAGCACCATAAGTGAGCTCCTAAAACAAACAAACAAACAAAAAAAGGCATATTGAAAGCATATGAGTTGCTCACTTTTGCAGGACAGTTACTGGATATTGATCCAACAAAAATTCCTCCAAAGTATTTTTAGCTTCCAGGGTTAGAGCACCAGCCTGGCAGGCACATTGACATGACAGACTGAAATAGCCTGAAAAGGAACATTATAGTCTGTTATGCCACTGATCCAATAAACTGAGATGTCTCCTTTGGAGACTTTATGGTTTATTGTGTTGAGAAGCTACAGAATGCAGTGTACCCACCTAGGTTTTGACCATCCCTTAAAAGTCTCTAAAGACTGGTTTATATGATAGACATTATTTCTATTAGACTAGTGTTTCTCAAAGTTTAAGAAGGTTGAAAATGGGCCACTCCACTCGGTTTATTTAAAGGCTTTGTAGCCACGGAGCCTCATGGCTCCCATTGGCTCCGATTTGCTTCCCACAACTCTCCATGGCTAGAAACTGCAAATGGGAGCCGTGGAGCTTCAGGACTATGAAGTCTTTAGATAAACAAAATGGAGTGGCCCGTTAGCAGCTTTCTCAAAATAGCCACTTTGAGAAATATTGAGATAAATCATTTGTATTTTAAACAGCCTTCATCCTTATTTGTGCAATAGATGCCATTTCAACTTATCGTGTCAACTTTGCTACGCTTCCGTGAGCTCCAGACAATAAGCAGCAAGAGAAAATAAAGTGAAAATTAACTTGCTGCCATTATTCCTACTTCAGCTAAGTGGATGATACATCTGCATGTGCGGGAATAGTTAGAAACAATGGGGCAAGTTAAGGGCAATGTTATATAAATAGGATTTACGTAATATGTTAATCATCTTTAGCTTCAAAAAAATATTCAAAGACAATAGTTTTTACTACTATTCTCCAGTACAACTTTCAAAATACAAAGTTAGGATTATTCAAAATATATATTTGAAACAAACCTGGAAAGACGACAAAGAAATGAAGACAAGAATATTTCCAGATAGACATGTCCTCTGAAAATGTTAATGACTTTTGGTAACAGTTTAATATCTTTTTTGGGAGCTGCCAGCTGAAGTAACTGAGACAATAATGCTTTTAATCTTTTAGTGGAAGTCAGCCATTTATTATATATCTTTGACGTATTCATACATTTTCCACAGCTGCTAAGGAAAATCCTTTTGTGCAGTTAATGTGATTGTTTGAAATGTAATGGAATTTTTCTAACTCTTTAAACTGTGCCTGCAAGCAAGACGCATTGGTCAATTGTTTTACATGCTATGGGCCTCAAATTGAATATCTTTTGGAATCGAATTTGTTACAACTATCATTTGTTTAAGCAAAAGGGGCAGGGAATAGTAAGGAATAATTATCCAGGGAACCGGTGTCCTACTTTGGATGAGGGGTGGGATATTAAAATCTCTCCCGCACTTCTGCTTTTCTTGGTTGCACTAAAGAACCAAAGTAGTGAAATATCATCCCAGAGATACTCACTTGATATTTCCAACCTGGCCACATCTTGTGAGATTTGACTTCCAGCCCACAATATATTTGGCTACAATTCAAATAAATGTTTGAAAGCTTGGTGCTTATGTGAACTGCATCTCTGAAATTTCTGAGGGCTGATTATCATTAACACTGAATGCAGATGAGGGATATTGTTTAGGAGAGCAGACTCCAGAGAAATGACACCAGCACTTTTGTCAGAGGCCTCAACTTTGAGTATGCAAAGTTAGAAACAGACAGCTGTGCACAATACTTTGATGTCGGGAAAAAATGCAGGAGATTTAGTTAAGAAGAAGAAATCACTGCATTGTTATCTCTCTGTCCATTCTGGGCTCAGATCTGTAGCTTTCTTTTATGGAAAAGGAGGAGGTAATTCAGGACTTCCCTGTGCCCCACTGATCCCAGCTGCACTTTCAGCTCCTGGTGGCCATTGAATTGCACCATATAGTTAGACCTTCTCTAGTCTCAGTTTGTTCTCCGAGCCCTGGCAGACTCCTGTGAGCTGGCAGACTGCTCCTGGGGAGCGGTAGAGGGCTGGCTGCCAGTGGCTTGCTGGCTCATGTTTTGGGGCCACTGGGTCAGGGGCAGTGACTGCTGGCTCTGGGCTGGCAGGCATGAAGCTGGCACAGGCACTGTGGACGGAGTCAACCCCTTTAAGGGCTCTGGGGAGGGAGGAGCAAGAGGAGTGTTCTTGGTTGAAGCTGGAGTGGCCACCAGGCACCCTGGGAAGGCTGGAGGCCCCCTATTTCGATAAAGTGTCTACACAGCACTTATTTCGAAATAGCTATTTAATGTTATTCCTCGTGGAATGAGGTTTACCAAATTCGAAATAAGCGCTCTGCTATTACAAATTAATTTCAAAATAGCGGTTTGGCTGTATAGATGCTGGTAAAGTTATTTTGAAATAACAGCTGTTATTTCGAAAAAACTTTGCTGTGTAGACATACCCTAAGTGTGTAGGAATGATGCATTTTATTTCCAGACAATTCTTATTTAAAAAATTCTCCTCTGTGGGAGATAATTTCCAGACCTGACTAGACACATAATGCTATACACATATGCAGCCCATCTGCTCAAAAGACATTTCTTATATTTTAGAGAGCATGTGTGTTAGGCATTAGGACTATTTTGTATGCATTTTTCAGTAAGAGTAATAAAAAGAGAAATTGTAGCTCTAAGGAGAGGACATGGAATGCACAGCATCAGCAGGCAAGGGGAAAACATATATCTGACTTAATGAGTTAAAATCTACATAGTCGTGTTTTAAATCTTCCAGAGGAACACAAGAGGCAGGCATCAGAGGTGATGATTTTGTAAATGATTTGGGTGCCCATTTAGTGTTACTGGGAGTTGTGATCCTAGTCCACATAAGTCCTTTCGAAAATCTCACCACATATGAATTCACTGCCATTGGATTCAGGTCTATAAAAACCTTTAAGACGGATTTCAAATAAATAGATTTTTTTGGATAAAAGGAGAACTGACCTAAAACTTTCTTCAAAATTCAAATCAAAAGTTTGTTCAGTCTAGTTGTTTGGGCCTCAGATTGCCTTCCTATAGAAAAAGCCATGGGTGTCTCTCGTGGGGGCAGGAAAACTCTGCACGGGTCTCCCCTTGTGGGGTTTCTCCTAAATTCTTTTACTAGGGAAGAGTTTGCCCCATTCAAAAAAAGTGAGAGGTCTAGCCCTCAAGTCCTGCAAATTTCTTAAAAACCCCTTGGATCTCAGACAAGCAGCCTGAGACATAGGGCATTTCACGAGGAGTAACGGTAGTTCGAACTAGGAAGCCTAGTTCGAACTACCTAGTTCGTGCCCCGTGTAGCCACGCTGCACGGGGTTCGAACCAGCGGGGTTTTAAAAAAGGCGGCTCCCCGCTTATGCAAATGAAGCCCGGGAAATTCAAATCCTGGGCTTCATTTGCAAGTGCGGTATGCCTACATTATCCCGCTAGTTCGAACTAGCGGGGTAGTGTAGACATACCCTCTGAGAGGTATGACATGATCCTTATTTTTCATTTGTGTTGATCTCTGCATTTTCTGATGCTGGCTAAATGCAAAAGAAAGTGCCAAATACCACAAGACAAGCTATTTAGCTTTCTATTTAGATTTGCAGTCTTGTTTTTGAAGGCCCAGTAAAGTTTCAGATTGTTCAGCTAGGATTCTCCAGTGAACTTCTGAGCCCTATGAAATTCACTTTTCCTCTTCTGCTAATTTGATTTTAAAATAAGATATTTTCACCTCTGGCATATGCCAACAAGTTCTTCACGATATTTGAAGCCGCACAGGGAGCACACGTGTATTAAAATGAGTGTCTCCAGCATGCATCACTGGGAAATGTCCTGTTTCTTTTGTATACCACTGTATATTTAAAACTTATCACATCTACACTTTATTTTTATTTTATTTTTAAACCATTTC